GGACTTAGTTGTGGAATTGTTGAAGTGTAAGGAGTAGATATGAGGCTGTTGGAAGAGACGATGAAGCTGGGATAGAGCTGGGACGACTGGTGACGCTCTTGAAGAGTCACCAGTCTCTTGAATCTCTGGGAGAGTAAATGGAGCTCTTGGAAGGAATTGAAGATCTGGATGAGAAAGTAGAGACAAAGTTTCGGTAGAGGAAGTGGATATCGTGAAGCTCTATGAGAGGTCGTGAAGCTCTGTGAGAGGAAGCCGAGATAACCGAACTCTGAAAGTGGAAGAGAAGGTGAAGAAACCTTTGTTAAACCAACTTCCAAAGTACAAAGTATATTCAGTTCAGTACTCTGTACAGATACTCGTGCACCAGTACACAACAGCATACACTGCCGAGGTGAACACACATAGACCAAAGACTGATCAGGTAAACCGCGATTCTTACCCTTCTTACCCATGTTAATCTTATATGAAGTAACAGGAAGTGTTCTACTCACAGCAACAAGTTTCGAAATTTATTCTCATTTCAGTGTTTTATTAAATGTAATATTGCGCGAAAAATATTTAGACTAGGATCCTGCGCCAGATTACAATAATGATAATAATAATGTACTATTATTATAGAATTTGGACCTGTCATCTTGCACAGGATTCTAGCCTGTATATTTTTCATTTTCCTTAATTTAATTCCCATGTGATTAAAATAAATTACTAAAAATAGGCAGTAGCTAAGGCCTCACCGCGGGATTCTTATCTCAGCCGGGCTCCTTCTTTACTTCCGGATCCAAGAAAATGGGCGCTCGAGTAATTTCTTGACGCCCACTGCATAATGTTGTTGTTTAAGATTTGCTACTTGGAACAAAAACTTCCAAGTAGCACGGGCTATGGTGAGCCCGTAGCACTGCATAATGTTACGAGTCCTTAACGTAGTAGTATCACGTCTTTTTTTTAATCACTAATGTATACAAAAATGAGTAGAATTACGATTGCTTCATAAACTTTACAAATTTTTTGAAGGGGAAAAAATTTTGTTCAATGCCATTTGAACGTGCCCAGGCAATTCTGACGGGGCAGAAACGGCTGGGCACGTTTCATTTTACCTAATGCCTCTGTTCACCCGGCAGTGAAAAGGGTCGGGATTTAGCCGACTGTTGTAGGGTTACATCCTGGGGAAGATCAGTAGTTCGATCTTAGGGCGACTGCCATACAAGCCTAATGTATGTGTACTCACCTAGTTGTGCTTGCGGGGGTTGAGCTTTGGCTCTTTGGTCCCGCCTCTCAACTGTCAATCAACTGGTGTACATATTCCTGAGCCTACTGGGCTCTGTCATATCTACATTTGAAACTGTGTATGGAGTCAGCCTCCACCACATCACTGCCTAACTGTGTTTACTTCCTTGTGTGTTTGCCTGTTTATCTGTGTATGACAGCCTTGTTTTAAGTGTAAACTCTTTAACTTAGGCCTAAACTAATCTTAAATAAACATAATATCACATTAATTATCTTAGGGTAATTAATGGTAGGGCATCCTCCAAAGGAAATCTGATCAACCAGGCTGTGATACATATGCCAGGCTGTGAGCAGCCACATCCAACAGCCTGGTTGACCAGTCCAGCAACAAGAAGGCCTGGTCAGAGACTGAGCCATGGGGACATTGATCCCCGAAATCAATGCAAGGTAACTACATGGTAAGGGGTAAAGTGGGCAATCCTTATAATGGGTGACAGAAATGCCAAAATCATTCAACAGACTGATGACTTTTAATATAAGTTATAAATTGAAGACATCCTGCAGCATTGTTCTCAACTTCGATTACCTTAGCTCAGGCTCTCAATTTTGACTAATAAACATACAATAATTTAAATCACATTCTTGGCCACTATAATGCCAAAAAATATTTTAAATTTGTGATAATAAATTTTGCATATGTGCACTGTTTGAATAAGCAGGCCATTTTACTTCAGGCTAACATGCATGAAGAATGCTGCAATAAGTCTAACTTTGTTAGCAAACCAATAAATCAAACTGTACACATGCAAAAAAACAAATATGGTCACTTTGGAACTCATCTGTAAAATGTTGCCAGTAAAATTCTGGCAACTACTTGTACTGTATATATAAAATTATGTTTTTGCTCTGCAATGGTATGGGTGTGGAAGATAATAGGATAGATATATAGTATATGTCAAACATGTTTATATTGTAGCAATATGGGAAATTGGTAAAACACCCATTTGTCCAAAGATCAGCACCTGGGTATTCAATCATTTGGTGTACATCAAAACTTTTGACACTGACATTTTTTTGTTTTATACATCCTTGAAGTATGAATGTACAGTACAGCCTATCTCTAGTGTCATTTTATAGACATATCTCTCAACTTTTGCTACAAAACTTTTTCAAAGAAAAAATATTACTATTTTTTTAATCCACCAAGAAAGACAATAACTTAAGTGTCCCAATGCCAAAGACTCTACCCTATACATTAATAACATTGTAACTGAGGAAAATGGATAAAATTCCACTTGTCTGGATACAAGCACTCGGGTATCTGGACATCTGGTGCATACTGTAATTATGGACAATGCTGTTTTGTGGTCAAAATTTCACTGGGGTTTGCATTCTTTAAGTTTTTCATTTAATATACCCATTTCTTAGCCAACAATGATTGATAATATTCAGCCTTTGGTTACTAGTGACTTTACACATACAAACTTTTAACAAACAGTAATACAGGAATAGCATTTAAAAAAAGCTAAATTTGAAGAGTTTTGAACAAAAATTTCATATATGAATTTTATCTTGTTCAATCAATATATAGTGTGCAAGAAACATCACTTATCTACATTTACATTACATCCTGGTGGCATTGATGGGACTTCAATGTCCCATCAAGTATCAGCAAAACTTAATGAAGTACAGTAGTGAAAATTATAAGTTTCAGTTCTACATATAAATAAATATGTACGGCTTGAGTAACATAAATATGCAAATATAAAGTTGTCACTCTCCTAACATTTTTTACTAAAAATAGTCATACACACTGGAATGTACTCAATAATGCAATACTGTGCCCATGAAGATATCTCACAAGAATGACAGTGTTCAGAGTTCCTTGGCACATCCAAGTCTCTTGTAACCATAGTGAGGTCACCAGACAGCAATATTTCACCGATATGCAAAGAGTATTTCATGAGTATTATCTCCCTTTTTTCATGTAACAGCTAATATACATTAACAAAATTGTTGTGACTTATCAGGGAGGTTGTCTCTTATGTTGACCAGACCACACACTAGAAGCTGAAGGGACGACGACGTTTCGGTCCGTCCTGGACCATTCTCAAGTCGATTGAGAATTGTCTCTTATTGGACATGAATGGGAATTAAGAGTGCTGAATTCAACATGTCAACTCAAGAATTTTAAAGTGTTTATTAAATTGTATTCATGGGTAAACCAATAAATCACAGTATGAGGTGGTGGTGGGGTGGTGTTATGCATAGCTAAGAAACAGTCCGGTTACACAGAGGCATTTCCTTTCACAATGAAAATAGCAACCACCACAAGTCCTAGTATTTCAGTGGTGCATGAATATTATTATTACTTTTATTTTTGTATTCTTTGAAACCCTTGTTACTTATGTTAGATTGAAAAGAACAAAGTAATAACAGAGTAAGGTTGTATTCAAACAAAAATTGATAACAAAGCTTGCTATTTCACAGATGATTTACTGTATGTCTTATCTATTATAAGGAACTTGTGTAAAATTTCAGCTCAAAACTGAAAGCATAAAGTGTTGCAACTAAAATTTCTACTTCTAATAATTGTCAGCACTTTCTCCTGATATCTTGTTTCTTGCCATACAAATACCAAACAAATGATATTTGTTCCGCAATTTTACAAACAATATAACATCTCAGTGGCAGGTGTGAAAAGTTGGTCAAGACCTCATTAAAGGACCATAATGATGCAGCCTAGACAAATTTATCACACTCAAAATTTGCCTCACAAATAACTATTGGTATTCTGGAATAATATAAAAATCTTTATATATGGCGAAGAAAAAAGAAACATTTCCTAATGGTTTATTCTTATTTGCGTGTGAAGTAGGAAAGGAGTTGGTGCTGAAAGGTATATTGTAGGTTATGCTGGATAATAGTTTATTAATTTTAATGATCAATCAGGAATATTTTTCTCTTTCTGATAAATGTTTAATTGAGTACTGTATAATAATTTATTGTATACGTGAAGTAGAACAATTAAAAACAGGAAGTGGTTCACGGCATGAGTTTCGAATCCTTAACAATTAAGCGTGATGCTTACAACAAAATATATCTTCAGACCTGTTCGCATTAACATAGTTTTGTATTATGACAAACGCTTGATTCTTTTCAACGTATCTACAAATCAATCTGAGTAAATCACCGACAACCTGTTGATTAGTGGATTCAATAACCACTTACGTATGGGAATCATCTCTCTAAACTAGACGTAACACAGGTATCTACAATCGAATACTTTAAAAAACCCGACGAACTTACTATATGTGAGTATATTTTCACTCAGAGAAGAACTGTATCATTGTAGGAAACACACAATATCACATTATTTTCATATTTGGTTCTGCTGTCAATTTTCACCTCTCCCACCTCACTTGTCGCAATTTACACTGGCGGGTGTAGTCGAGAAGCCAGCGCCAGGAGAACTCCCAAGTGAGAACTCAGCTACGCCGGAAATTCTTGGAATTTCCTAATAGATACGTAAGAGCTTCATTTTCTTGTAATTTGCCATACATAGAATTGATATTATTAACAATATTCCAGAGTAGGATTAGGAAAAATACAAAACAAGAAGCCTTTGCTTGTATAAATTGAAATTTCACTCGATTACTTGTGCCAGTAGCATAAGAGCCAAAACCTATATATATGGATTGTCATAATAGATACTAAATCCTACTATAAGTATTTAATTTTCATGCTGTGGTGAAGAAAGAGATTCCAACCACAGAATCGGAATACAGGATATCCGAGGTTCTCGAGCTTATACCAGCCAGGCTCCAGATTTGTTGTCGTCGACTTCAGTGTTTGGCTGGAGGTGGAGGGATGCTCTGTGAATGAATGGATTTCTGACGAGTTGTAGCTTAGACGAAAGGGCTTCCAGGCAGGTATTTGCATTATTTTTTACTGATTCCATTAACTCATTTATGATATCATTAGATACTACTTGTTATTTGTTGTACATAAATGGTCATTAGGCATGAGTAGTAACCAAGTGGACCTTTTTGTTGCAACGAGCATATTGGATGGTCTAGCTGTTAGTCCCAAGAACATATTGGATGGTCTAGCTAAGAGAGTCCCTAGAACATACTGGATGGTCTAGCTAAGAAAATCCCAAGAACATATTGGATGGTCTAGCTAAGAGAGTCCCTAGAACATACTGGATGGTCTAGCTAAAAGAATCCCAAGAACATGTTGGATGGTCTAGCTAAGAGGGTCCCTAGAACATATTGGATGGCCTACCTAAGAGAGTCCCAAGAACGTTGGCTGGTCTAGCTAAGTCCTAATTTCAAGTTATGTTATATCCTTCCCAAGTTTTACCACCTGATTCTTCCTGCTTTCAGAATCCTGCCTTCTCATAACTCTGTACTAGGCCAAGTCACCCCTGCTCATGAAGTATGGCCAAATCATACACTCGGGTTTTACACAAAACTCGTTCTATAACTGTGTCATATAACCTTGGGCGTGACCTCGATACATACCAAACGTACATCTTCCTTCCTATCCCGCAACAAAATTAATTAATTAAATATTTTACTTATAGAACAAAACAAAGAAAATTATTGTGCAGGTGCTAATTTACACTGGTATTGATGTTCCGAACCATAATGAAATCTGACCCAAGTAGCAATTGGGTCAACCCATGTGTTGCGTTTCCACAATGATCGCCCAAGTTAAAATCGGCGAACACAGATTTTAACGTTCAAAATTTTCCCCATAGATATGAAGTCCCCAAACCACAGTGGTAAAACACTGACCTGACCTAACCTAACCTAACGTTAAAAAACTTTGGATTTTTGTTTTAATAAGTTACCAAGATGTTTTCAACAATATTCTTGGGCGTTCACCGATTTTAACTTGGGCGACTATTGTGGAAATGCAACACATTGGTATTCATACACATTAGGCTTATATCTAGGTCCCCCTCCCAAGCCAAATTACTGACCCCGCCCAGGATGCAATCCCACAACAAGCTGACTAACTCCTGTGTACCTACTTACTGCTAGGTGAAGAGAGGCATTAGATAAAAGGAAATGTGCCCAGCCTTTCTGTCCTGGATTCAAACCCTGAATTCCCGATTGTGCGTCGAGAACGAACCCGACAGTACCATCCAGACCTTCTACAGACACACACACTACAGATACAGACATGCAGTAAGACCACAGACTCTCAAAGACAGACACAGAAACATGAGTGTAATGCTAATCTTGTAACTATACCAAGATAATGACATACTGGGCACAAGGATATAAGGCTTGTGAATTTTATTTTGAAAATACCTACCTCATATACAGTATGATGAATTTTGTTCATGCTGAACTTATGGAAAGTGAGGGGGGATTACTCTGTACTCTGTTATTGCTACCATTATTGCTGTATTAAATCAGCTCATATTTTATAAATGCTTCTCATGATGTTTATCTTACCTTCAGGTTTTTTGCAAGGTCTGATATATATAACTTTTTAAATTTGCTTACATGATAGCGTAAGACTTTAGATGATTTGATGTTCTTGGGTTTGAGTTGTATGCTTGCAATTTGATATTACCGTATCATTATTGCTCGGTTATCCCCTTTCATGAGGTGGAGAGCATTATGGATATTCAGAGTGACACCTGTGTTTCCATACTCATTAGCATAACAGAAAATAGCATTTTACCATCACCACTAGCAAATTCCTTGAAATACGCAGAAGCTGTATAACAATAAATATATTGTAGACTATAAAAATCTATCTGTTGCTTTGAGCTGTTACATGTAGCATTATGTTATTGTCATCATCTGTTCATTTCAGAATATTGAAGATGGCATTACCAGCAGAAACTACTTCAACATCAACATTCCCTCTACCTCCCACACAATATATTAACCTTTATACAGATGAAAACTTACGGAGAGGAAGAGCCCCTAAGCCACCACTGCCAATACACAATGAATATACAATGTTTGGTGTCCCTTTTAATGCTGATGATACCATTATTAGACCTCTGGAGTCTCAGGTTAGTTATAGCCGTTATATTTTGAAATTCATAGATTACGTACATTCTTTAGTTCTTGACTCATTAACTTTTTGCTCAGAAAAGATATTAATACGGTGATATGTTTCATTTGCAGGCCATTCGTCGACTCTACCCACAAAACTTTGACCATCGTAGGGAACTAAAGAAGCTTAACCATTCCATATTAGTTAATTTTCTGGACCTTCTAGACATCCTTATAAAATGCCCGGACTCTACAAAACGCACGGATAAGATTGAGGATATCAATATTCTTTTCATAAATATACATCACCTAATAAATGAATTCCGACCGCATCAGGCACGAGAAACTGTTCGTGTGATGCTCGAAATGCAGAAACGACAAAGACATCAGGTATGTCATCACATGTTTTAATGAATGTAGGCAGCACTTATATAAATAATGAAATTTGTTACATATCCACTTATAAAATGTACTTTGCCCACTGCCACTCACTGTTTGTTTATTTGTAGGCTTTTTTCTCGGTATCACCCCATTTAATGTGCATTAAGTGATCATAAAAAAAATCCCTCTGACAGCCCTATCCAAATACACTTCTGGCCTGTATTACTCTCTTAATGGCATCATGCTATCATTACTGTATACATTCCTCCAGTTTCCCAGTCACTTACATTCCTGTTATCAGTCATTCTGTCTATGCAGTACTGTATGTGCAATTGCCAAAACGTTATCTTTTCCTATTCTATTATACAGTATATGCTTTATTGTTGAGAGAGAGGACAAAAGAGGAACTCGATACAAAGTGAGAAAGGCTCATTGTATTAATGAACAAAATAATATTGAAAATACACCATGATAAAGCCAGATTGTTGATAAAAGGAAATTTTATATTTCAAATTTATTGATTTGGAGGCCTATGAAGCACAGATTGAGGACATATGTATTGTCCAATTTGTTGACAAATTTTGTAACCTACAATATGCATCAAACCTTGCTCCTAAATGACTACTGAAGTAATAAAAATATTAAATATTAAAAGCATAAATATTATTAGAAATATTAGATATTATATTAAATATTTATATAATATTAAATATTACAATATTAAATATTTATAATATAAATATTTAATATTTTATAAATATTTTAAATATCTATTTTATACATATTATACATATTTAATATTTTATAAATATTTAATATTATTTCGTCCGGTGACAACGCAGTCTGTGTCAATAAATAATCGACGGATGTCCACTGGTGATGCATGTTGCGTCACGCTCACGGGTAATGCTTGGCTGACTTTCGGCGTTGTTGTGGTGGGGCGGGGGGGAGGTTGGATTTTATATGCATATACTGTACCGCTGTAGGGAATTCTATTGCAAACAAATTGATGCCAAAATGAACGATGTAGCACGAGAACTGAGGTGAGAAACTGAAAAGAATATTCACATTTTATTGCTGTTGCAAACTCACGGGTAACTCTCACCCGATTTTTGGGTTTGGTGTGGGTGGCACGCCTGGCTTTTGGACCTTGCCAGGTGTGTATGAACGACATACAACGAAAATTGAGGTGAGAAAACTGAAAAGAGTACAGTATACATGTTTCAGTGTGGCCGCTCACTCACGTAAAACTCTCGGCGCACCTTGGGGTAGGCTGGGGCGTGCACACTGAGAATGCGAAAGTGTTAAACAAATATTAAAGAGTAAATGACACATTTCTTATAAGAAATCAATATTTTAGTCTGATTATTTTATATAATAGTTTGACTGTTGACATCTGGCACAAATTTCGCAAGTATTTCCAAGGTGACTTCTCTGCTACTCCCATAATTCCAGCACATTTTTTAATTGTCAAGGTTACATCTACACTAATCAACTGCAGTTAGACCCTTTTTGCTCTTAAATACATCTTATTCCATTTTGATTGAATTTTTTAATTTACTAATTAAATCATTTTAAAATAATGTATCTTTCTCATCAGATTAACATAACTTTAAATGTACTATTAGTGATTACTTATTTACTGTATTTTATTTATTTTTATACAGGTTGCAGAACGATTAGAACGACAAGAAGATGAAGTGAGTAGACTTGTAAGAGAAGCTTTGGCATCCTTGCCCGACAACTTAGACCTTGACTCAAAACTACTTGTGCCTTCCCTCGAAGAGCTTCAGTTAAGGCCAAAGAATGATACCACCAGTGCATCTGAAGATAAGTGCTCAAGCTTGGACAGACTCATGTGCAATATTGTGGATGCATTGTAGAGAAATATTAAAGAGTTTATACATATAAATTATTCTATAATATATAAGTTATTATGAGATAGAAGAAAGTGCTACAGATTTAATAACAACAAAGTGAGTTTTAAGTTAATACTTTGCTGTTCAGTAATTATCTGTGTCATGAGAATGTTTTTTTGTGTTTTGTTTTTTAGTAAGAAAATGGGAATTTATTCATACAGGTGTTTTGTAACTTTTATATGTCTGTATCTCATGTTTATTGTAGAACTACTGTATGGATATGAAGAATGTTGAAGTACTGTATATTTCAAAAAAATTATTTTGTGTATATGTCTTTCCTTATTTTTATTATGTGATTAACTGTCATTAGAAAAATACTTCATTAGAACAATATATATTATTATTATTATTTTCATTTTTCTTAAATGTTGAATTCCATTTATAAAATACACATGAACTTTATTAGAAGATTGAATTGAAGTTTTGTCTTTCTGTTCCCAGTGTTAGATGCTGTTGCAAATCCATAAATTTCCCCAATTAACAAAATCTGTATTAGTAGGAATGCTGTACTGGTACATTTGTTTTTAATGTTATGAAGCTAGTTTGGTTGAATTAATGGATTCGATATGAAAAATTTTGTATTTATTTTATATTCATAATAATTTCTCTAATTTGGGAGTTCAATTTTTGTATCCTGTGACTGACTTGATTATATAAACATGATTATTCCAACAACATGTATGACTTGGGGCTGGGCAAATACTAAAACACAACTAAAAGATATTTGTATGGCATAGTTTATTTCAATAATCAAATTATGCTGTCAGGTATTTTCTGAGATTCCCAGTCAGTAGTTTTCCTGAGTTTAAACACCGACTGGGCAGATTAGCTAATGGCAGGTACTTGTGAGGATCCCATTGACTAATGGGAACAAGTGCCTTTACAAGTTTTCTTTGCCCCCTCTGCAAGACAGGGATTGCATGGAGATAAAAAATCAATCCTAAACTATACCGAGACATATAGGCATTCATTTCAATGAAAGGAGGTCAAAACACCCAAATTCCCTCTGGGAAATATTTAACAAAAAATAAAATGCCATACTTCCAACTGAAAAATAAATAAGTTTTCTCAGTGGCACCCAATCCATCACCTGGAGGTGCCAAGTCATTGCCTGTCAACTATATGCCTGGCTCCTGGCATAGCAATATAGTGAGGTATCCACAGATGCTTAGTGCTGTCAACGTTAGAGCAAGTCACCAGACATCATTGCCAAAAAAACCATGTAATGCTTGTAAGAAATGCATCAAACATACTCCAGAAGTATATTTAAATGTGAAAAGTATCAAATATGACCTAAGGATTATTTTTTCATAAAATTTAAGGAATTTAATTGGATGAACAAAATTGTGGGTGTCAACATTTTTTATTTCATATCTCTGTGGATATCAGTATTACAATAAACCTAATACTGTATGATTATTTGTTAGTCCTCTAAGGTCAATAACCTAAGTGCCCAAAAACCAGCAACTATCTTATCTTCTACAAGGGATTCAGTTCCTCACGTCAGGAATCAAGTCGGGAATCTCAGGTTAAGCACTGGTGCATATCGTCATTTGGTTTGGGCAGAGCCTCTCTGGGTGGTGTTTGCTTGGGTTCTTGGGGCCACTTCTCATGTCCAGTGGGATTATACTTTCAGTGATGGTTCAGCAACAACCTCACTTCTAGCAGGTCAGTGTTCAATCCTTGACCATCCAAGTGATTGGACACCATTACCTTCCTCCATCCTATACCATATCCTCATATCCCTTCCAAATGTTGTATAGTCATAATGGCTTAACACTTTCTCCTGATAATTACCTTATCTTAGAGGTCAACTACAGAATTGCTGACATCCCATCCCATGATTGGCGACTTTTGCTTTGTTTTTGGGTGTGTCTTTATATGGAGGGCCATGGGCTTCTGGGGGTCTTGCATTTAACACGGGATTCTGCTCATCATTTCCATGTATTTCACATTCTACAGTGGTGGCAATCTTTTTTTTTTTTTATTAGAATTTATTTTCTTCCTTAGCCAACTTTTTCCCATTCCAGTTTGTTTATTCCCTGGCATTCGAGCGTATTCTATTGGCCCTCAGAACCTGGGTTTGTGTTTCCTGAAGCCATACTTACCTATGTTCAGTGTTCCCTGTGGACTATGATGGGTTCAGCAGCCAAGGCTCTTCATCCACATTCTAGGTTGCCCGGCATTGTGGCCTGTTTGTCTTAGTTCATCTACTGGACAGGAACAGCCACTGTTGACCTGCTGCTTATCCTAGAGGCCATGTTGTAGGAGAATACAAAACATTTGTGATTTTCTTTGCCAACATGACTTCCACTTGCAGTGTCTGGTGCTCCATTTGTGTGTTTCTCGGCCCTCACTTGGCTAGGTGTTACTTGTCCTTAGGCTCTTGTTCCTGCTTTGCACAGGTCCTGGGTTTAGGATTTCATCTACCTGGGTAAGTCCCATCCTGAATTTATGTGGTCTCTTTGTTTTATATATTTTTTGGGTATGTTGGCAGATTTTCCCATGTAAGATGCCAATGAGAGGAAACTCAGGGAGATACTAATGAGAAAGCACTAAAATTAAATGTCAAAAGTAATTTAAAAAATTAAATGTCAAAATGACCTTTCGGGGTTCAGCCTTGGTAGCTTTCCATACCCATCCTGTTTCCCTACTTTCTTAACACTATGCCTGGGCTAGGATGTGAGGATAAATGCATCACTTTGTCTGGCTTGGATGCCACATGGTGGTGGATGGGGTGTAGTCAATGGGTTCATTTCCCTAATAGTTTTTAAGTGTTCTGCTTTTGTAGTTTGGTACATTTTCAAATAATTTCTCAGAATGAGTGTGAGTGTTCTATGGCCTCGTTTTATTGTAATTTGCCTCAATACAGTACAGTGTTGATCATTTATTCCTATGTGCTCCATGTCTCCTGGAGGTGGCATGGGTAAAATGCAAAGGCCTTTGCTTCTGGTAGGCAATGAGTCTCACGGGGAAGCAACTGAGGCTGGGCCCAGAAAGGGTTGTTTGACACTTGACATTTTTTTTTTATAGAAGACAGTCTTGACACGATGTAAGATTAAGTAAAATGAATGTTAATATAATGCAGATAATGGTTTTAAATGTGATTTGTTTAGTTTATTCATGTTTAGTTTTTATGGAAATAACTATTTTTGTTTCAAAATTATTCATTTAAAAATATAATAATGCTGAACTAAATTTTAGGAATGAAATATATTGGCCGGTGAGCCATAATGTTTGAAATTTGTGTGTTGTGGTAGTTCCTAATTGTCATACATTGATCCAACATGTCAAAACTACACACACACATCCAGTCTGCCAACAAATGTATTATCTTTTTCCTACCTTTTATTATTTAGTTTTATTAGTTTATCAGCCCAAGTCACCCAATGTTCCAGCCATTATTTAGTTATATTAGTTTATCTATCAGCCCAAGTCACCCAATGTTCCAGCCATTATTTAGTTATATTAGTTTATCAGCCCAAGTCACCCAGTGTTCCAGCCATTATTTAGTTATATTAGTTTATCTATCAGCCCAAGTTACCCAATGTTCCAGCCATTATTTAGTTATATTAGTTTATCTATCAGCCCAAGTCACCCAAAGTTCCAGCCATTATTTAGTTATATTAGTTTATCAGCCCAAGTCACCCAGTGTTCCAGCCAGCCTATCCCCTTGTCCCCCCCCCCCCCTTCACTTACCTGGTCACAGCATGTTACAAAACCTCTGATGGCCTATCCTCTGCTTCACACTTTAACTGAGTGACATTGGTTATTCCTGGAAATAGAAGTTCTGCCAGGAGCCATTGCTTTGTGGTTTCCTTTTGTTTATCCATGACTGTTTTATGTCACCCACAGTGTGTCTGTGTTCTATCTCTGTATTTTTACATTCATGGTCGAGTTGTTCTAGCTTCCCTGTCAATTTTCATACCTTATTCCAGTTTTGAAGTTGCAGCTGACTTTCTGCCTGTTATATTCACCATTCTCATGCCATGGTGAACTGCTGTTGGCCTCTGCTCCTGTGGTGGTGGCTGCTAGCCTCTCCATATGTAGTGATGACTTTGCTCACTAATTTTCTTAGTGGCTTCTATATGTTTTGGATTGTGGGCAGCCCAGTGGGCTGTGGCTTCCTTATTTGTCCAAGTGTGGCATTCTTAGGTGCTCTCTGTGGGACTTTCTCTTCGCTTTGTGCTCTAGCCTGAGCTCAGCAATTCTCTCTGGGTACCAAAATTTACCCAACATTTGGTCTCTATGGGGCTACAACTCATGCACTGGCAGGTTTCACTGACAATTGCTAGCAATTGCTAGGCTGTTCCTTTAAGGTTTTTGACAGCAGCCTTAGAATCCTGCTTTTGTTTTGTCATTTCCTGGTTTTTATAGAGTACCTTTCTCCCTCTCCGCAGCCTTGTTTCAGTTGTGCCTAAAAGCTTGTTTGTGTAACCGTCTTGTCTGTTGCTGGTGCCTCCACCCCTTCCCGTGTGTACAGTTCAAGGTTGCAGGTTTGTAACTCTGTTCCACCCAAGGAAGATTCCTGTGGTCTCTCCTAATTTTTTTTTTTTTTTTTTTTTTTTTTTTTTTTTTTTTTTTTTTTTTTTTTTGTTAGCAGGGCCTGCTTCAGGTCTAGTCATTAGGGCAATGTTCAGTTCTTTTCGTACTGAGCTGGAGAGACTGATCTGCATCTGGGCCTCGGTCCCATATTGGTAGTTACCAGGTGTGGTTTTTGGTCCTTGGGGTTCGGTATCCAGCTTCTCGAGGCTTCCCAGTTACCCAGGTCTTCTTCCCATTGTTTGCTGCCATCACTTTGGGGATTTTGGTTTTTGTCCAGCTGGTGGTCCTCACTGCCTTCCTGGGGTCTTCTTGTTGCTTTGGCTACTTTCCTTGGGAGTTTCCTCCATGGCTCATTTTTGAATTCCAAGTTTGTTTAAAATTGTCTACCTGGTTGATGGTCTTTGGCTTTGCCTAGGATGTCCCTCGGCCTCATCGCTCTCCTAGTGCCCCTCTATCCTGGGTCCTTATCATTTGCATTATCCCATGGGTAGGTCTGCCCATATTTTCTGTTTACTGTGTTCTTTTTCAGTTATGCCAGCCTCTCTTAAGGAGCTGTTGTGAGTTAGCTCAGGAAGTTACTGAGGTGGCCCACAGAAATTTCCTTCTTTCCCATAGGGTAGTGGTGTTTCATTCAGCCGGCTTGTGAATGATGGAGCAGGCTGACTGGAACCTTAAGTGACCAGAAATCTCACCTGGTGGCAGTCAGATGTGTGACAGTTATTGTGTTTGCCCTGTGGCAACAGTCATTTGGTTCGCTACTTCTAGGTACCTAAATTTCTTGAAGTATTTGCTTATTTTGTTTTCTAATGGAATTTTTGTCAATTTTGGGTTGATCTCTGATCCCCAAAGCTCCTCTTACCTCTTAGAGAGCCAAAGTCTGATCCTGGCTCTGGTTAGGTCACAGCCTGGATCTCCATAAGGCATCCTCGATCAGTGTTTAGGGAAAGCTTAGGAAAGTTCGTTATATTTAACACTATTTATATTATTGATTTTGGTGAACTGGAAAATGTATGTAATTGTAAATTTTTTTATAGTATTGCAAATGTGTGTTACTAGCCAATTTCATTTTATATGCAATTTGAATATTAAGAAGAGTGAATTGCAGCTTGGCTTTATTTTTTGTTCATTCCACCACCTTTCTTCCCATTTGCTAGGATTTATAGAATTTCTGAAGAGAATTAAGTCTGGCTTTAATTTAGTTCTTCAAAAGTTATCATCGTGTTTTTATACATATGGAGAATAACACTGCATTCTTTTTTGACCACAGGATTACACCTAGTTCTTATAGGTTGTGAATATATATAACACTCCCCCTTGAGTTTTTCACACTTTTTATAAGCCTCTTGCAATAATATGATGTTCAGTTGTTAATAAATTTTTCCTGTCTTCATAAAAGATACGTGCATAAATTAGGATAAAAGTTACATATAAAAATATAATTTCATCAACTTACTTTCACTGGTTTTGAATCTTGCCACTTCTGCTGTACATGCCTTCAAATTGCTGTAATCAGAATTATCCAGTTCTGCTATCTCAAATTTCATGTTTCATATAAGCACAGTACAGTACAGTACAGTACAGTATTTGCACATTGATTGCATCGTATGTAGGCCAGGTGCTGGAACCATTCAAGATATTTTGCACTATATTTTCTCTAGAATGTGATTAATAATTTTACATCCATGTCCACAATTAATGCTGGATGTACAGGGGCAAACAGTGATGGAACTGTGCCCATGAATTGAACCCAGTGGTTCTCCTTTGTGAGGTAAGCAGGTGAGGGGTGTTTAATTCATTACTCCATATCTTTTTTTAGTTAGCCAAAATGATAAAAACCATTAATATTGGACATCTCTCGGGTTATTGTTCATATTAATTTTACCAATTAAGCCTGGTTAGCCTATGTCTTCCATGGGTTGTGGTTCAACACATCTGTAAAGTTACAAAGTACTGTACTTATTTATTTCATAATTTTGTTAACTTTTCTTAATCTTCATATGAGTTAGCTTGCCTCCTTCCAGTGCCCTACATTAAATTTGAGACTTAAATTTCAGAATAAAAGTGTGCTTTCTTCATTGCATTAATAGTGTCCAGGTTATGTTGGATCTGTTTTATTTTCATAACTCTTTACTTGCACTTATACGTTATATTGTACATACAAAATATAGATTTCATATACTTTTTTGGTCTATTATCTTTAATATCTTTAAGCATCAAGGTGTGCTCAATAACTACCCATTCTACTGCAGAGTTAAAATCTTACCCGCATAAAAAGAAAAGCATCGAAGGCCTAATTGTACTGATAAAATGTTGACTAAGAGCTCCATAATATTGTCAGGTTGTAACATATGTCAGTTTCTTCTTGAGCACAGTAAAATCAAATTACTGATTTAATAAATTTACTGAACCAAATACCCTGTACTACTATGAAACTTGGCACTTATTTTCATGTTTTACTTTAAATATAGGATATGCTCTGTCCAGTAAAGTCAGTGAAGAAATTTCATTTCATACAAAGATATCAACTAATGTTGACCAGACCACACACTAGAAGGTGAAGGGACGACGACATTTCGGTCCGTCCTGGACCATTCTCAAGTCGACTTGAGAATGGGTCCAGGACGGACCGAAACGTCGTCGTCCCTTCCCCTTCTAGTGTGTGCTCTGGTCAACATACTTTAGCCACGTTATTGTGACTCATCGCCTGCATATCATCTAATGTAAGTACAGTAGATGAATCAATAATGTGCAAGGCAATATTATTTGTACGTTTATTTTTTCGTAGGTTTTAATATTAATTTAAAATTATGGTAGTATATGAGATACCATTTTTTTTAATATACTTTGAAGTATATAAGGAACATTTTGTATAATCCTTTTCTAATTATGCAACTGCAATGATTATTGTTTAGTCTTCGACTTTTGTGCCTTAATTTCAGACTATTCCTATGAGTAGGCCATGGACCTTTAGGGTGGTCAGATTTATTTTGATCTCATTTGAGTCCATGTTAAAACTCTGTGGTGGTTGTTCTGTTTATGTAAAAAAAAAAATCATAATGTATCCCAACAAGTGCAAAGATTTCAATAAAATATCAACTAATGATGTTACTTGCAGTAGTACTTTGAAGGAACTGCTTCAGAATGTCGTACTAATTTTGAGGTACTAATTAATTAGACAAGTATTTATGACTTGACTAGGTCTATTACTATGTTTGTGATGGTGTGCTCCACCGGTGATATGCTACAAGTTTCTCATGCAACTGTTGGTGTCCACTGTTCATACACACAAGTGTACTTTTTCCAATGTAGCTCAAACATATACTGGTGCTGTATGTTTATTTTTGGAGCTCTATATTGCTGCTACAGTTGTAGGAGTGATTCATCTTTCTAGGTGTGCTGCCATTGGAGCATGTGTCATAACCTTGATGCATTACAAATCAACAAAACAAGGAAATCAAAATTTGATATTTTTATTTTATTTAAAGGTATAGAACTATAAATGGAAATCATCAATGACAAAAATAAACTGAATTAAGTAACAGCAAAACTTAAAGGCATAAAGCTTGTTTTAACACACGTGTAGAAACCAAAATTGTTTCCTGATATAGGAGAGACACATTGTTGCTGTCCAAAACAATCTTCACAAAATGAACAAACTCATTTGACTTTTACTCATGCTTCTTTACAACATTTTCTATCTGAATTTGTTTAAAGCAGTGCATCTTTTTCTATTTTAACATTTTCACCAACAGAAGATCAACCACTACTGCTGTTGACGTTAGAATTAGAAGTCTTGTACGAGCTCTCAGATTCTTCAAATGGATCACATTCTGGTAATATGGGTTGGATGTACAGCACTTGTGGTTCATATATAACTGAAATTAAATCTTTTAATGGTGATTGATTTATAATACCTGTAGTTAATGTTGGTGGTTGACAGTGATGCACAAGCTTTAATAATTTTGAAGCTTTATCTCTTGTTTTGCTGTTATTAAGCACTTGTTTATTGAGTAAAGAAAAAAAACATTTGCTCTGAAACCCATTTTTCATTTTACCTTTCAGTTATCCAATACAATATTGAAGTCATTGTGTTATTTTGCTCAATACTTAATTGTGACCACTATTTGTGTACAAGACGGTTGTAAGAAAAAAATATACATTAGGACCATAATGTACCACCAGTATTACATGACTAAATGTAACAAAGTTTGTTCAAAAGGTTCACTGTATTAAAAAAATATTTATATTCTAAAACTCATTTAATCATTACCAATAAAAAAGAATCCACCCCAGGTTAATTATGCCAGTATCATAGTTGATTAATGTTGATAACATGATCAGCAAATTCTCTGAATAGCCTATGCAAGATCATAAGAATAAAGGAAAGTGCAACAGGCTTATTGACTTAAACAAGGCACCTTGTATTTCTATCCACCAACTTCATTCATATAAATGTCTAACCTATGCCTGAAGAATCAAATAAACCTACATTTATTGTGTTACAGTATCTGATAATTTGTTCCATAAATTAGCTACTATAGCAATGCAACTTCGATTCAGTGAACTATTTGGGAACAACCCCGATTCGTTGAAGTGAGGGATTCGTTGCAACAGGTGATACCTTCAGGAGGCATTTATGTAATGCATTTTTTAGTAATATATAACAAGAATAATTAATTGTTATATACTACTATTCAACTGTACAGCAATGAATCTTTATACACCTTAGAAAAAGCATACTGTATACAGTATTTTCATTGAATCCTCTTGTTACCATTTGTAATTATAAACACCACCTGTGTGACTTGGTCACTAAGGGTGCCACAAACTGTAAACAAATATTGCCATCCACGCCACTCTCGATACCCACCTAGGTGAGGGGATACCCACCTAGGTGAGGGATGGATAGCGGGAATGAGGTGAAGATAGAAGCAGTAAGGGGAATATATTAAATGTGAGAGGGATAGGGAGGCAGGAAAGGTTGTATGACAATGGGTGTCAGTAGTGGGTAAGTAAGTAAGTGTATGTGGATGTCAGTAATGGGTGTGAGTGTCTGGAGTGGATAATGTCATGTGCATGCCTGCCTATTGATGTCAGTGTGTGTGGGCGTATTATTGTAGGGAGTAGCGAGCCTTACAGGTCCACAGTAAGCCAAGAGATGAACAGGACTAGCACACGTTAACCCTAGCTGGGGGACGGGTCGAGGAGGGTTGTTAGTTTTGGGTAGGGCCAAGGTCGGAGGTGGCGCAGGAGTTGCTTAATCACACATTTTTTTATTTCGACCTGGAGGCCAAAAATTGCCCTCCAGGGCTAGTTACTAATTGTAAATAACAGAAAATAATATTTGTAAAGTATCTGATTATGTATTCACTTAAATATTTACAAGAAAATACAATGGGTTTTGACACACTTTAAGACGTATGATGTTACATCATCCTATGGCTAGTAGGGGTGAGCTGGAGAAGGAAAGATGAGCGGGCATGAACAGGAAGGAGACGTGTGATGATGTCTGGCTGACCAGTGTTCTCTGTCTAGCCTGGCAGTCTGTGGCAGATTCTGTGCAGCCTGTATATTACAATCTGACAGATTGTCTAGCCTGATTACATGTCAGGCCTGACAGCATGTCTAGTCTGACAGCCGGTCAAGCCTAGTATTATGTCCAGGCTGACAGTTTGTCCAATCTGTTTAACCTGACAATCTGTCTAGCCTGACATTCTGTCTAGCCTGGCAATCTGTCTAGCCTGACATTCTGTCTAGACCCAGTTACACCCAGTTTATATAGCCTGACCATCTGTCTAGACTTTATTTTGTCTAGTACACCCAGTTGGTCTAGCCTGATAGTATATCAATCCTGGCAGTATATCTAGCCTTGCAGTATGTCTAGCCTGATAGTATGTCAGTCCTGGCAGTATGTCTTGCATGACAGCCTGTCTAGCCTGACTATCTGTCTAGACTTCCAGCCTGTGTAGCCTGAGAGCATGTCAAGCATGACAGCATGTCTAGCCTGACAGTCTTATATTGGCTATGCTCTGGGCTGATTTCACAAAGGGATTATATAATTTTTAACCTATGATATGATGGGACAACTTTTCTACCAGTTTGTGTATTCTGTCCCTCTATCCAAAGCAAATCCGCACATCCCCCGCTACAGCGAATTAGAGTTCGTCAAATCGGGTGAGCAAATCCGGCCTAAAAAGTGTACGTCCCAACCGGAGATTCGCCGAATTGAGGTTGCACTGAGTACTTCCAAACAAACATTTAGGCAGGTAATTTCCAAATCTAAAGATATCAAAAGCATATATTTTGTTTTGTGTTCTATTTTGTATCAAAACATTTTACACCTTATTAATATCCCTTAGGTTATACTCTTTCATCCAATTCAATTTCTTTCTTTATTATGCACCCCATACCCATCCTGTGGGCGGTGGTGTAAATGATTACAGAGGCACATAATCGGTTCAGGAACTGAACCCTCTAGTTCGTTTAGCTAAGCAAATAACAATTTTTTGACGCTAGTCACACAGTTACTAGGTCTTGCTCCACACCTACCCAACTGGGCGGCAGCTTTACAGTCATGTGCATGTATTACCTAAGACTAATGACTTATGCATTTTCGAGTCAACACTTTTTGTCATATGCATCAAGGATACAGATGAGAATATTACAAATCACATCATCAAATTTGCTGATGACACTAAAATCTATGGTAAAGTAGGAAGTGACAATGATACCGAGGCCTTACAAAAAAGGATCTACCTTAACTCCACTAGTTATCGAAAGACTTGCAAATTTGTTTCACTATCGAAAAATGCAAGTCCTTGCACAATAATACCCATCACACCTCCCATATCAAGATTTTCTTCTTCTCCACTGGTTATGCATTGCAGAGTGCAAAGGTTTGCTTTGCAATATGTAAAAAATAGCATGTATATGTCAAGGGTACAAAACAGACATATTTAATGTGTTGAAGCCATAAGAGGATTTATGAATAAATGGTAAAGGCAACAAATAAAAACAGCAAAAAGTTAACTCACATTATGTGTTTCCTCATTGCAAGAACGCTTATCTCAGGCGGGATGCACAGCCGATGTCTATTTTCGTTTCAGGAGACTTACAAATGTAATTTTTAACAAAACGAATTTGTCTTGGATTTTGGCCGATGGTTTTGTCAGAAACTTGGACTCTTATTACTTGAATCTTAATTAGGCAATAAACTATCATATTAATTATTCAGCACTGATCACATAAAATTATATACGAGAGTTCTATACAATAATTTCCTTCAGGGTTTTGTATATGATTGACGCGAGACCCATGACGACCGTACGTGCTGTCATACAACAGCCTAACCTTCCCCCAAGCCTCTTGCAGTGGAGTAATCACACTGCTACTACGAGAAATATCAGCAGCCTCTGTATTCATTATGTGTGTATTTTACATGTACGTGTCCCTGGAAAAATACCCTTAACGTAATGTCTGAATGGCATTATATTACCATGAATGCACACTATATCTAGGGAAAATCGCCAGGAAGATTTCCTGTGTGAGGTGTTATCACGTCGGATTTCCTCCATTCAAAACCAACACCACCACACACTACTCTCTTTTCCAGCCCACACGAAATAAATAAATAGCTTAGCACCATACTGTGTATGGAAGTTCTTGATTCAAATTTTCAGGCCAAATTTTTCGCTGAAAATGATCCAGGCCTAGGGACCTAGGCCTGGATCAAAATGGCCAAAATCTTTGACCATTTTATTATTCAGTCTATCTCCCTACCCAATCAGTCTCTATGGACAGATGGATGATTGGGTGAAGGTGGACGATTAACATTTTGGCTAGAGAAAGAGATGGTATTTCTCTTGATCAGTATTGCTGTATCTCCAATCTGAAGGACAACACAAGCAGCAGCACAACCCTCTACCTAACTACCTATTGAGCCAACACCACTCACAGTAAGGAAGACGTCCAGAGACACCCATCTGGAATTAGTACCGACAATACGTCCAACTGAATCTTTAGGCCTTCTCTTGGGTGCCATTTTAGCATGAAGGTGTTAGGTCATCCACATCTTAGTTTGATATTATGTCATTATTATAACATAATTATGTTATTGTTAGCGATATTTAACTGAATTTACCTGAGAACAGGAAGCCGACGGCTTGTCAAAGGTCCCCCCTTTGGGGACCTCTCTTTCTCTCACTGGCCAAAATGTTAATCATCCCCCTTCACCCAATCATCCATCTGTCGAGAGAGACTGATTGGGTAGGGAGATAGGCTCTTCACGTTCCTCCCTGGATCTCAGCTGACTGACTTGTAAAACCTCACTTGCCGCGTCTGTTTGTTGTGTATTAATATTACTAATATCACAGTGGGTTTAGATCAACAACGAATTGTTATGCTGAATAGCACGAGGGTGAGTTTTTTTTAGTTAGTTTAGTTAATTTATTATGCACCCCATACTCATCCTGTGGGTAATTATCAAAAGAAGGCACCTAACGTGTATGAATACACATTAGGCTTTTATCGAGGGTCCTCTCAAAGGCTGAATTTCTGACTGCCCAGGATGCAACCCCACAACAAGCTAACTCGGAATACCTACTTTCTGCTAGGTGAACAGAGGTAATAGGAGAAAGGAATTAAATATACCCAGCTATTATTGTCCCGCCCGGGATTCGAACACAGAATTCCCGATTGTGCGGTAAGAACGAACCCGACTGTACCACCGGGACCTTTAGAATTATGTGTGGAGAGCTAGTATCACAATTGATATGTTTATCTTGCAACGCCCTCCATCTAGTACACGAGATTGAGGACAGGCTGGTTTTCCGCGTGAAATATCCTCCTTCCTCCACCATACTTCCTCCCTCAATTTTAATCCCTTTCTCTCTCTCTCTCTCTCTCTCTCTCTCTCTCTCTCTCTCTCTCTCTCTCTCTCTCTCTCTCTCTCTCTCTCTCTCTCTCTCTCTCTCTCTCTCTCTCTTTCTCTCTTTCTTTCTTTCTTTCTTTCTTTCTTTCTTTCTTTCTTTCTTTCTCTCTTTCTTTCTCTCTCTTTCTTTCTTTCTTTCTTTCTCTCTCTCCTTTTCTCTCCCCATTGATCTCTTCAACATCTTTAATTTATTTACAAGAAGTTACAAATGTATTTGTAACATTTTGGTGTATGCACGATTCATCTATTTTATAATAGTGATAGCTACAAATGACTGGAGATATAGGTAAGTAGTTTGCATTGCTGTAAATATCATATTTACTCATCTCACGAGATTCTGAATGTGATTCTTCATAAGTTACTGCAGTATTAAAGTTCTCAATTCTGTCTCCCTTTGTTCCCCAGGGTCCCACTTTATCAGGGAACGCCTAAAATTCCAGTTGGACAGCAGATAGGTGTCTCTGATATCCTTTCTTAACGTGGGTGATGGAGGTTCAGTAGGTAGGGCGTGGGCTGTTTGTGTAGCCTACGGTAGGGCTCCGATGGTCCATGTGATTAAAATGTTATTATTCGTGATACTTAATTGAATTTACCTGAGAACAGGAAGCCGGTGGCTTGTCAAACGTCCTCCTATTTGTCCTGATGATTTTATCGCGCTGGATTTTATAATTCAGCAGTGTTTTGGCATTTACGGTTTCTGCGGGTAGGCGGTTCCAAGGGGTTATAACCCTATGATTGAAAAAGAATCTCCTGTTTTCTGTTCTACATTGCGGCTTGTTGAGCTTGAAACCGTTGCTCCTTGCTTGTGTTACATCTGACCTCGTGAAGAAGTAGCGGTTAGCAATTTGTGGGACTAGGATGTGTACTTAATCTAACACCTTCATGCCAAAATGGCACCCAATAGCAGGCCTAAAGTTCCAGTTGGACATGTTGTTGGTACTAATTCCATATAGGTGTCTCTGGAATTCTTCCTTACTGTGGGTGGTGGTAGAGACGTGGGCTGCAGCTTGTGAGGTCTGCGGTTGTTCTTCAGATTGGAAATCCAGCAGTACTGATCAGGAGAAGTTCCACGTGTCGGCATTACTAACCAAGAGAAGTCCATATGGTAAACAACTGACAAAGGTAACAATGCTACAGGTGTTCACTGCTTGACTATATAGCTCTATCTGCTTTGGTAAAAATTTTGTTTCTCACACCCATCAAGATTACAGGCTCAGGGCTCAAGGCCATTAAGATAAGGTACTGCTAAGTCGTATCTCTGTTGGATTCTGTGTCATTCACGTGCATCTTATTATTTACCTCAAAATATGCAAGGAAAATTATTAGTCATATGTTAGATATAACCTCACACTAATAATAATCATGGGTGGCATGATGTCGGGACTCTGAGGTTGGCGTTTGCTCTTACGATGAGAGTCCCAGATAACGGAGGGATTCTTAAGATAAAAATATCAACGGTTCTAAGATAAGCGTTTCGCATCTTTTACTCCTACTGCAGGATGCCGGGAACAAATAGTGGTAAGCGTGCACATGCCAGCAACACCGCTGCACAAGGGCTGCAAAGAATACAAGTTTAGGATAATAATAGCTTGGTAATCCTTGGTAAAGGCTAGTTAATTACATAAGAAGGCTGCAGACAGCTTAATTGACCAATCTAGCAACTCCCGCATCACATGGGAGAGAAAGTTATGCGGTGAGGTGACTTACAGTTGATAGGAAATGTAGATGTTTATCTCTCAGAATGTTTGGTAATATGTTTATTGTTTGTGATGTGTGTATATGTATGTATTAACACGATGCACTGAACGGGGTGAGAACAGCTTGAGCTACCTCATCCCTTTGTGTGTATTTTACCTCAATAAACTTATTTCAATTCCCATTATTGGAGGCAGTAAGCCTGTTAGGTTTCTGTGGAACCCGTAGGCTAGTAAATGACCTTCCCTGGAATGCAAACCACAACAGGTGCCTAACTCCTAGGTACCTCACTACTGTTACGAAAACAAAGGCATACGGTGTAAGAAAGCGTGCCCAATCGTCTTGTACAGGACTGGGATCGAACCAGAGACCTACGGGTTGTGAATCATCTGTGATGATTGTGCCACAAGATACGCTTTACATGCATTTTATTTTAGGCCTGCTTATGTGCATTTGTTTTTTCCAAGTATAGATACGTCTGCAAATTAAGATCTATTGGAAAAAAACACAAGAAATGGCTGGTGAACTCTGCACAAGCTGTGGGCTCTCTCCCTCACTCATCCCTCTCTCCCTCCCTCACTCATCCCTCTCTCCCTCCCTCACTCATCCCTCCCTCCCTCACTCGTCCCTCCCTCACTCCTCCCTCTCGCTTCCACCTTCACCACCACCTCCCTCACCCAGTGACAGGTTAATGATACGAGTAGATGAACTAATTATGTGAAATTGAAGGGTTAATTCTTATAATTATTAAATAATTATATGTAATTCAATCGTAAATAGACAAATTATTATTGAACGGATCTTACAATTAGCCATACACTGTTACTTGGCACAACAAATTCCTCTGGTTAATTAGTGTTTATACAGAAATAAATATGTTGACAAATACATCAAATGAGTTGGGTGATTTTATGAACTATAATTTAACTTAAGAAAATAAGTAAGTGGTGGACTGTATTTAGATTGTAGGAAATAAGTATAGTTGTATACTGTATTTAGATTGTAGGAGCTGCTTTTGTAATGAGCGTGAGCACTGCCACTGTACCATCAGGGCAATTAAAAGGAAGGAGGAATGTATGGTATGATCACTAATCATCTTTCATATGATTATATTTTTCTGAAAAAATTACAAAAATTAAATTTTTTTTGAAAAAAATGAAAAAATGTTTTCTGAAAAAATTTCTGAAAAAAGTGACTTCAGTCCAGGTAATGCACTGGACTTGTCGTGGTTGAATGCAATACGAGTGTATAAGGAAGTACAGCAAGCATGAACATCCTCCACCAAGCATGTAAGTAATAACTATGTCACCCAACCACGCATATACATGCCAACCACCCACATGTTTTTATTTTTGGCCCGCTCGGCAATAATTTCAAATCAAATCAGATCAAATGTTTATTCAGGTGAAAGTACATACTACACGAGATAAATTTCAAACATAATGTTGGATTTCTAGAAAGAGCTATTTCATACAATGCCTAAAGCCACTAATCCGCACACCGTTTCGGGTAAAGCAATTTCCGAGGAATAGTATCGCGATTATTTCTCATTGGTCATTAATATTACTTAATTTACACGCAATTATTTTATGCGTGTGTTGTCCATGTCAGATGAAACAAGTATTAATCCCGTGTCAGTGGACTGTAGTAATTAGCGGTTTATTAGAGTAACTGGCATCAGCGTGCCGGCTGGCCCCAGCTCCCAGCATCTCCCAAGCCTCAGTGGTAATTCAGCAGCGTGAGAGGGAGGACGTTCACCCAGCACGATGAAGACCATGAGGCGGACCGAGGTCCTCCTAGTTGGGTTATTATTTCTACTGGTTCCTGTGCTATCTACAGGTAAGAAAATAAGTTTGCGAGTAACATCGGAAAAAGCTACTACAGATCTGTCGTGCGCCCAATATGTTGGTTATTGCAATCTTGATTTAAGATATATTTTTTGAAATCTGTACCGCCATTCTGCGACTAAGGGCTTGCACGTCCACATGTCCCGTGTCCGAAACCTTGCGTTATACACTTTTTTAAAACGACTGCAGAAAATTTGTTGAAGCACAGAAAAAATAATATACACTATAGTGTACCTTAACTGTCATTAGACTGTTGATGTAACATATTCATGGAGTCAAGATGATGTTATATACAAAATGGTTAGACAGTTGATGTATCTGCTTAACTGTATAACTAGTTGGTCACTAAATTGCTTAGCTAAACGAATTTTGGGCTTCAGCTCCTGAGCCCAATATGTCCCTTTCCACTACCACCGACTCACAGGAAAAGTATATTGCGTGTGTGTAATAAATAAACTAAACGCATTGATACAGAAAATGTTTTTGATACTCCATTTTTTGGTTTTACATTGTCAAATATTTAGCAGACCTTCAGCAGATTGTTAGAGCTATGTTAAACCTTTTACGGACAAATATCATCAATGAGGTTACCCAAATTAAAATGTACTGCTTAATTAGGCACTATTTTAGGCTGTTACAAATTCTCGCTCAAAAGGGAATGAAAAATATGTTAGCGAGAAAACATCGCTCCCGCTGAGTTCTGTGCATGGTGCCTACG